ATTCAACTCCGAAATAATTTTATTGTCTCCTTCGACAATAAAAAAAATTGTAAATTAACAGCTTTTTTAAATATAAATATACAATTAAATAGTTTTTTTAATTAAAAAAATATATAAATTATCGGTTCAAGTCATCCGCGAAATTGATTCAAGTAACATTATAAAACCTCAGATTTTGACGCCATTTGAGTTTCTTTTTTCACGACAATGCATGATAACAGTTGTCGCTTAGAAGAATATTGTCGTTCCTGGCAGAAACGGCGAGGGAAATGCAAATAGAGGCGAAGTCCGGGCTGAGGAGTGGCGAACTACTCAACGGCATTAACAACAATAACAACAACGCAGTCAGGACGATAACGAGATACGTGCATACTAAGCATGCAGACTCGTCGGTGAAGATCTTTCGAGAGACGATGGTTTGATATTGCACTTCTGGATGGCGTTTGTCGCCCGCAATAACGTCAATCACATTGTGTGTAAAAAAAAAATCGATTAGTCATTTAGAATTGTTTAACCCTTTCAATACCACTTGATCAATTTAGAAAAGCACACTACGTGAATTTTTACTGTGAATGAAATATTAATACCGAGAACAATATACCTATATATGAAAATTTTGTACCGGCATTTTATTAGAAAAAAAATATAATATATTTTATTTTTTTTATCTTACACATTAGAGTCTTTTGAAAATATGTTCCGAGAATTATTTATAATGTTGATTGTTTGAGATAAAATGTTTTATTTAAAAATTTATTTTTTTCTAAATTTTAGTATCAAAAGGGTTAAACGCTATGTCAATAAAATAAAATGAATAAACGATGACGAATTGTAAAGCATTTGACACGTTTTCGTCGTGACAGTATATTAATCCGATCCATTGAACACTATTGTAAAATCCGAATACTATAACCATTCCACTAGCGTAATCGGCAAAAGAACTTGCAAGAACACGAATCACAACGTTGTATTTGAAACTGCAAACTGCGTGTCCTTAATACTGTATGCAATAACCAGGGTTTGCCTAGAACTCTGTGTGACATGTCTAAAAAAATTAAAAAGATATTTAAAAGACGTCCTACGTTATGTCAGATCTCTTTTAAACATCTTTTGTTACTTCGTGGATTGTTAATCAAAGCATATATCCACGTATAATTCAAATCGCACTTTATTGGTATTCAAGTTTTACATCTACATCTTGTTGTTATTTTGAATCCAATTAAAAGTCGAGAGCTTCCTTACTTTTGCCAAAGTATTATTTTTGAACGCATTATGAAAGTCCCTCAGATTGCTTTCGTTCGTGCGTTCACATATGACCAAAGATTTCGTACACCTATTTTATTATCGGTATATCGTGCCGTCTTTCTCGATGATATTAGAATTCTATACGAGATGCAAATACTGTAATGACACCGTATATCATAAATGTAACGTGAATGTTTCGCGATATAGATTTCTAGATATTTAACGTACCTTATCGGTTGTCCTTGTTGCGCTATGCTGTTAAATTCATTAATTATTGTACTTACCGCCGCCGCAATTGACATGCGTCTCAAGTGCAACTGATATCCTAATTATCTCTAAGATTACTTCGCGCGTTATACTTAATTACTTTTTTAATTATGCAAATTAAGGTGTACTGTGTTTATTGTAATATAAGGATAATTAATCCTGCCGAAGGAGATCGATTCGTAGAATCGAAGGATTAAGGGATCTCTGTTAAAGGAACTCTGTTAAGGATGAACTACTTATAAATCAATAGCAATAGTCTCTCAAAAAGTGTCATATTTTACACGAGTCATTAAGTTCATTCGCGTTGTTTGCACTTTTTGTACTCAGCATCTTCGGTCTCT